AAATTATAGTAGAACTGAAAATAAATTACAACTTGTAAAAATCACGAGTAAACTCTTTTCGTAAGACGAATACACCCAGTGTAGTGCTAACGGTTTAGGCGTAACGTCCCCCAAAGATACAACGACGAACATCTCAAAATCTGTAGCACACCAAAATTACGAGATCCGGCGAACTAAAACGGAGTCGAGAATTGAAAACGGAGTCGAGAATTGAGCACTTAAAAATATGAATAAAATTATCTCTCAAATAAATTTTCTCTATTTTTCTCACTAATATTTTTATTCTTCAACTCTTCTCTTAGACTTATTTTCCACTCTCTTTTACTATCTCTCTCTATTTTTCATTCTTTTCTTCCCTTCTATTTCGTGTCTCTTCTTTTCTGTCCTTTTCTCAAATGATCAGACACATCCCCTATATATTAATCCAGAACGCGCTGAGCTTACGTGGCTGTTTCTGGTGCTTCGGAATCCTATGTGGCAAAATTACATGCTTCGTTATTAGGCTTGGGTAAATTTTAATTGAATTCCAAACCAAAAATAATTAGGTTCGGATTACCATAAATATGTTGATTATTTATGGTCATGTTACATGCATTAATTGCATTTTAATATTATTCCTTATTATAACTATTGAATTGTATATGCATTTTAAAAGTTAATAACTTTTGTTTTTTTTATCAGTTTTACATATGTAATATATCAAATTAATCTTCTTTTGATGAGCTTCGATTTAACATCCATATTGTATGTATAAAAAAATAATTTCTATTTATTTTTATAACAATAATAAAATTATTTTTTAATATTAATTAAAAAATAAAATTATTTATCAACTAATATATTTATATTTCAAGTAGTTATATGATATAAGTTATAAAAACTAATATAATATAACACATGTAAGTCATAAGTAACACATATCATTCTAAAATATATAGTAATATATTTTTTTTGTAAAAAAGTAAACTAAATTTAATATAGTTTTCTCATTAATTTTAAAATTTAAGAATAATTTTTTAACAAGCACACATGTAATACACGGGTGTTGTACTAGTTATTTATAGATGAGAAATTGGTTTTAAGTTGGAGAGATTGTCAAATTTCTTATCGCACACCATCAACCAAATAGAGACTTGGATGAATAAAATATAAGAGTTGTTGGTGATTTGCTGTGGTGGTTGGAATTAGTTGAATAATTAATAAGGTGGGGTAGATTCGATCCTACCCATATGGGTAGTGTCCCAATAGGGTGGCAATAACATTTTTTATATTTATTTTGTTAGATATATATTTATTTTATGCAATTGTTACTTGTTTTTGTATTTGTATTAATCTTTTTATTTTTCTTTCACTTATCATCAGCACATCATAATAAAAATCTAAATTTGTAATTTCATGTAAATAAATATATTTATATTCATTTTTATATTTTGTATTTCCCATTCTATGTCGAAATATATTTTTCTTATACTCATTTTTTATATTTAATTATTGTCTTGCTCTGATACCATCTTTATACTATCTTTTAGGTGGTCCTATTTTATGTAATTTCTTATATTTTTGCTTATACCTTTGTATATCATAATCTAGTTGTTTTAATTTTTATTCATCTTTTTCTATATATTTATATTGAATTAATTTTTCTATAAAATAATCTACTTTTTTGATTTCCCTTCTTTTTAGTTTAGCTAATTCAAGATTTATATCTCTCCTATCCATTCTATATTTTATTATTTAAATTTATTACTAATGAGCTTAACTCATTTACCTGTTTATTTAATTTTTCTATTTCTATATCCCCTTTATATAAACTATTGCTACTATGAGGTTCTTCAATTTCTTGAATTTTTAATAAATTATTTTCAGTCAGTTTTCCTAAATTTATAGGATTACTAAATGATCGTCTACTATGTTCTCTTAAAAATTCTTTTTGGATTCTATCATTTTTAATAATAGTACTGATTTCATTGAATATTTTTTATGTATATATTATTTCTTGATTTTGATAATTAATACTTAAACTACGATTACTTAATGCATATGCTATTTTATAACAAACAACCATAGGTATATCTCCTGATTCCATTAATGTTTTTTTTCTTGAAAATTACATATTATTCCTATGCAGTTATTAATTTTCTTGATTGATAATGGTATAGAAAATTGTAATGATATATTAAATTTAATTACTCCATACCCTAAATCTCCTTCTATTTCTCCTAACTTTCTTGATTCTTTATGCATAATTCTATTATCTTCAACTCTTATATTTACGGGTGTTTTTATTCATTCTCTAAATGTTGATCGTAATACTAATTGTACTGTGTTTATATGTATATAACTTATCTTTTTCCTATCTTCTTCTTTTATTTTTTTCTAATCTTTTTTCTATTTGATTTATTTCAACTAAAGGTGCTTGAAAATTATAATTTTCTTGTTCTATTTTAATCGGTTGTTCTCCATTCATTATTCCGTAATGTATTAAATTTTTATTATTTAATTTTTCTAGTATACCACTATTTATTCCTTCTTTCTTTTCTAATCTAAATTTTCCTTATTTTTTACTTTTGTTACTACCTTCTTGTCTAATAATATATCTGATAAATAAATTCCTTGTTCTTCTATATTTTCTATAATATGATATTCGTTGTCCATTTATCTTTGATTATCTTATGTTTAGAATTCTTAGCCTTATTTGAACACTTAGAATAGATGCTTGGTATTCGGCTTTCTTTATTAACTCTTTAATCTTGGTAATTGAAGAGGTAATATCATCACATATTCGGAAATAAACTTCATCGGCTACTGGATGCTCTTTAGGTGTACAAATTTTTACTAGGTTGAATAACATTTGTTCATTTTCTTTTAACATTTTTGTTAATGAAACAATTTGTTCTATTAATGATTTGAGACAATTTATATCCTTATGTATTTCTCTATATGGCATATACCAAAAATTATTATTATCCATGAGAAACTAATAAATAACAAGTTTTAAAAAGATAGATATAAGAGTACTCGATTAAGAGAGTTACCTGATTCTGCCTGTTCTCAACACAATTCTGGACTTAGTGGCCTTGGCGCGTACCAGCTTTGGCATTTTCACAGAACTTCCAGTGCTCCAGAAACTATTGCTGAATCAACTAACACCTTTAATCTTTCTTCTTATATCTTCTAAGTATTTAGAAACTTATTATATATGAAAGCATAAAATCTTATGAGAGAAAGAGTGTTTTGGAAAATGATCTTATTTAGGATTGTTGTGTTCTCAATGAATTTGAGACACTTATTTATAGGCGAGAGATATAGCTCTGCCTCTTTACATATGGCCTCACATGGCCGACATATTACATCAAAGAGTTTATGGCCTGAAGATAAGGTGGGTGTG